CCCAAAATACAGAATGCAATGCAAACTGCCCTATCCGTGCCATCATGCAGAAGTAGTAATTTCATTTTTTGCCTACTCACTACTCGAGCATTTGTACATAACATCTACCATTCAATAACTAATCCTTAAACAGAAAATTAAATTGGGCGAAGTGAGCACGGCACATTTTCAACTCGGCTACATCTAACAGAAGCACAAAACTTAAATAAACACCAACGAAGCAACTGAAGAGTACCTCCTCCACGCCAGCCTTTAGCCTCCATCTTGCCCTCACGCACAGCCACTCGGTCCGCATATCTGCAGAAACAGAAACATTACTCCTCCAAGCCCCCAGCAATGGCACGCATTTCTCGAAACCACACCAATTCGAGCCAGACCGCACCTGGACCACTCCTCCCCAAATCACGGATATCACGGCGCTTACCTCCGCGTCGGAGAGTTCGATCTTGAACGCCTGCTCCGCGCCGGGCCTGACGATACTGAGACGCCTCCGGGACCGAACCACCGCCGCCGCGTACCAATGGATGGAGCATCACGTCTCGTACGAGACCGGAGCGGATGAGGGTGGGGCTGTCTACAGCGAAGATGGAGGCGGCAGGGATGAGATCGGGGCTGGCTCAAACTGGAAGGGATTGGGGTTTCAAGACGTGGAGGTCGGCCCAAAGGCCAGAGCTAGCGGCGGAGATGCGGGCGCCGCCGTCGTGGGGGAGAGGGGGAGGCCGGCGACGCGGCGGGAAGAGGACGGGGAGAGAGTGAGCGGATGTTAGGGGGAGAGAGTGGGCGGGAAAAGGTGGGGTTTGAAGATGCGGAGGTCAGCCCAAAAGCCAGAGCTAGCAGCGGAGATGCAGCCATGCAGGCGCCGTCGTCGCGTCGGAGAAGAGGAGGCCGGTGATGCGGTGGGGAGAGAGTGAGTGGGTGTGAGTGGGAGAGAGTGGGTGGGATTAGGTTGGGTGGGTGAAAAAGAAAATTATTCTTTTTGCAAATAGAAAAATGTGTTAGTCTCACTTTTGTTTTTACTACTCCCTCAGTTCCTAAAAATAGATCTTGTTAAAAATAAAGACTACATATGCATATATATAGATATATTTTAAAGTGTACATTCATTTATTTTGCTTCGTATTTGGTCTGCATTAGAATCTCTAAAAGACTTATATTTAGGAACAGAGTGAGTATATATTTTACGATGCTTATGTAATGAGTGAGGCCTTTTGGAGGCCGAGCGACCTGGAGGCCGTTATCTAGGCCATGTGTTCAGACGTTGTGATATGTGCAGCATACATTTGCAATGCATATACGGTAGCTATTAACTGGGAATACACAGGTGCCATTGGCTGGTGTGCTAGATTTGTACAGGGACCTCCGCTTGGGTGGAGCTTGCAAGTACGTGATGTGCCTCCTGGCCAGCTTTCAATTTTCCACATGTGGCACCAGGGTCGGGCTGATGTGTCATTAAATTAAATGGTATTAAACGTGATGATACAAGTCGCTTTACATTTGCTGGGAGGCACATATTTATCTTTTTCCGGTCGTCCACTTCCTCTGGCACATTACACAGGAGCGATTTCACCATCGATGGAATGGAATTCTTCATGAGTGTCAAAATTCATACTTGTTCTAATTTTGGTATTCGGTTGGGTGTGCGGGGTCTCTCAACCCCTTTGCCATCAATTTTCGTATAAGTTAACACGGTGCTTGTTAGAAAATGAAAATAAAATAAGTGACGAACATGGTGTGTGTAATTGATTTTAAAATAAAATACGACCACACTAGGTAGAGTGCATCTTATTTTAGCTGGTTAAGAAAAAAAATATGATGTAAAATATAAAAAATAGCATAATTATTTTTCCATCTTCATGCGGAAAAAACTGCAACCATAAAAAAGGGTAGGGTGCATCTTAATTTAATTGATTAGGACACTGGTGTAGTATTTTTGATTGGCTGAAAAATTGAAGAGCATTGGTAATTGAACAGTTTTCAGCCTTTGCTAGAGACTGACAATAAATTATCATTCCGTGTGTATGATTTAATTGTGTCCGTGCGAGTATAACACATGGGAATTTCTTGGATGTTTCGCATCTGGAAAACGTCGGTTAGTGGAGTGTCATGGGGTCGATGTGAGGTGCGATTGTGGTATGGCATCAAAGAACAAAATTAGGATGTATTGTTCAATTTGTACTGGAACTATTAGGAGGGGGGGGCGTTACAATAAACCGCTAGTAAAAAGGACAAACAATCCGAATGCAATTTTTTCGCGGGGGCAGTTTTGTTGGCGGTGCGTGAAAATTTGATCACAAACTGAATGAGTTGCAGTATTTGTGCAAGGTTGGCTGACACATACTTATTTCCGCATCACATGTGGGGTGGTTACTTGTTACCTGTTAAAAAGAGCATGACTTTAAGAGAAAGAGGTGCATAAACAAATTTGTCAGCAGATTTTGTTTGACAAAACACTGTGATGCAAAAGTAATATTGGAAAAACATCTAGACTCTGCATACGAAAATAAAAGTGAGGACAAAATTTTATTCCAAGACGTGACAATAAAACAATTTGAATTAGGCATAATTCCTCTTTTTTCTAAAAAAAAGTCTGCCGAACATGGAATTGATGTTTTCAGGGTGATTTCTTGTACTAAAACGCGCATATTGTGTTGGTGATTACACAATGAGGAAGGATTTGTCCTGAAAATTTGATACACCAAGTTGGAAGATGGTGGCGCGCAGGTGCGGCTTGACTAACTGGCCAGAGGGACAGGGTGGCAATCACACCTAGATGGTGTGTGCGTGGAAGATTGTCCCGTGGTAAAAAGGATCACGTAAATAAATGTATCTACCTGCCCTCGTCAGACATGATGGATGAAACGATGGTACTTGTGAACAGCCTGGCAGCACGGCGTCCTTACCATGGGATAATTTTATGTGTAAATGGAAAATGCAGTGTGGTGTAAAAAGGTGTCAGGTGAAATACATGGGAGTAATACGCCACTGCAGTTGATCCATGTGAAGACTGACGAACCAGATAAAGAGTTGCAGGGAGCTCGGCCTCCAAAAGGCATTTTCGTTATGTAATGCAGTATAAAATATCATTTATATTTTATGTGTTCCACTTTGTTCACCAGATATAACAAAACGTGATGGATTTGGATGATGTAACGACGGACCAGACTGAAACATCACAAGAAGGGTGCATATAGCTAATCCTTTTTTATATATATGTTGCAAAAAATAATACAAAAAGATGCATAGTTTTTCTTTTAGAATACAGGAGACATAGATATGGATTTTGAAGACGCTCAAAGGAGTCCATCGACAAGGGTTTCGGAGCAACGTCGCTGGAAGGGGCCAAAATTCACCGAGTTTTTTACAACATAATGGTGTGGAAGCGGTGATATATCTCGTAAAAAGAAAAAAAGACGCCAATTTAAATGTTATCACACAAAGTATTTTTTTAATAGTACTATCAATTTTCCTTCGCCATATTGCCTTTTGTATTCAACTAATTTGGCTTATTTTTTATATTGATTTGGCTCTTTTTTGTATCATGCCGACGGACTATGTTTGTACCCCTAAAAATATTACAATCATCGAATCAATCATGTCACCTCCAAGAAAACCAAGTTTGTGGACATTGGAGAAGTCTTGTTATCAAATGACGATTTGGAATGCCTTAATATTATATGTTTTTGCATGATGGTGTAAGGCCAATTGCATAAACTTTGTACTTAGTAATATAAACCATATAATATCTAATAACATAATATATTCTAAATATGGAATTACAGGTGATAAATGATTTATCTACGAGACAGGGAGGGTGAAAAGATACATATTATTAGCACGTTTGTATCTAGTCAGGTAAAAGAAGACGGAGAAAAAGACACAGACTCATCAAAATATCATCATATCTTACAATATTTTAATACTTATATACAACAAGATATTGTTTATTTCGTCTCATTATCCATGCATATAATTATGTATTGTTTTAATTAATCCATGTGTATAATGATTTATTATTATTTATATCTAGATGTGACTACTCTTGTACGATATTTACACCAGTTATTCATTCCGATTAACATTCCTGAGTACCAATGGTATCTAGCAGTCGTCAATGCCAAAAAACAAGAGATTCAAGTATTGGATTCACTTGGTGCTCAGATCAAACGGAGCGACCTTGCTACTACGGTAACCATCTATGTGTGAAATTTAACATGCATTATCTTTGTATAACTTCATTAAAATATTTCAAGAGTCCGTGGCAACGCACGGGCATTCTACTAGTTTCAGTTGTTCCCCACGATTATTGTTTCAACCCGAATATCATTTGATATCCATGCGTTGCGTTCCTCTATAGATTCACACCGAGTCAGATCGACCATAGGATCCAAAACATGGACCATCACGATTAAAAAACATTTTTCTTCTTGAGAATACGATTAACAAGCATTCGCCAGCTACTCCAGAATGCCTGAATTTGGAGCATTGGCTCATGCAAAGTTGCCACGACGGTAAAGAAAGCTATGTACATATTGCCAATGCCACGAACTAAAAAAGAATTAACAAGATCTCCTCGCCAGGAAGAAACGAGCAGCGATCAATGCCGCCACGACGACGACGGCGACGAGGAGCTCAGGCTACCGACGAGCTCAACGAAGTCGCTCTCAGAGCACGGTATGATAATCCCGCCGCCGTGGTGGTTGAAGCCGAACTCCTCCTCGGCGCTCTCCAGCAGCGCAACGAACGACGGGTGCCTGAGGTACGCCGTCGGGATCACGAACCGCGCCCTCGCCTCGCCGACGTACACCGCGAAGTGGCCCCTCGGCACCGCGCCGCCGAGGATCCAAAACAAGCATTCGCCAGCTACTCCAGAATGCCTGAATTTGGAGCATTGGCTCATGCAAAGTTGCCACGACGGTAAAAAAAGCTATGTACATATTGTCAATGCCACGAACTAAAAAAGAATTAACAAGATCTCCTCGCCAGAAAGAAACGAGCAGCGATCAATGCCGCCACGACGACGACGGCGACGAGGAGCTCAGGCTGCCGACGAGCTCAACGAAGTCGCTCTCAGAGCACGGTATGATAATCCCGCCGCCGTGGTGGTCGAAGCCGAACTCCTCCTCAGCGCTCTCCAGCAGCGCAACGAACGACGGGTGCCTGAGGTACGCCGTCGGGATCACGAACCGCGCCCTCGCCTCGCCGACGTACACCGCGAAGTGGCCCCTCGGCACCGCGCCGCCGCCCTTCCCGCCGCCGCCGCCCTTGGCCAGGTGGAGCCTCGACATCAGCTGCTGCAGCTTCCCACCCATGGCATCGATCAGCTAGCTCGAATGCTACTAGTATTTGCTTCAGTATCGATTGCTAGCCAGTGTCAGTGTGAGCGAGTTCATCAGTAGTTGCTAGCTTGCTTGGTGTTGCAGGTTGCGGGAGCTCAACAATGCTGTTGCTATATATAGTAGCGGAGTACTATATTTTTTCTGTGTGCTGTCAGTTGTTAAACCTCCTGACGTGGAATTAATTTGCCCAAGGAACATTGCCACATGACTGTCCCCTGGCATGTTGCTTTTCCGTTAGGATGAGTCCATTTGAGATGAGATATGCCGCTAATATGGACGCTCAAGTGTGTCTCGAGTAAGTTGAGCACTCAAATCGTTCCTCGGTGACCAAATTTGGATGCTCTTAGCTGCTGAGTTTACACATGTAAGCACTCATCTCGACATGAATAGCCCGTTCCAAGATTAAGAACCGGTGGCTGTCGTGTGTTGGCATCACAGCAGTTGAACGCTTTGCTCCAACTTGCACGGCAGGCCTCGCCGCCGCAGCGGCAACTGGACAATACAAATGGACGCGACCCCACGGGTGGCATCCATCGCGGATTCAGCTCGTGCACAATTGCCCAGGGATGGAGACACCGCCGCATGGGCGTCGAGCCATCCTCATGTGCTTGACCACGCGCGGATTTCGGCTCAATCATTGGCACCGGCAATGGCGGCTTAGCAGAGCTTACGCCCCGATAAGCGGGGAATTAAGGACCGGTGAGCGGATAGAGAGAGCGATCGAGTGGACGCCTCCAGCGTCAAGAATTTGATCGGCGGCGGCCCACGGCATCCGCTCCTGCGGCCAGGAATCGCGCAGCGCGCGTCGCGTGGGGCGGTGATCGAGTCGAGAGCAGCTAGGCTGGCTGTGCACCTCATCCCGGCTGAGGCGCGGGGAGCCATGCCGCGGGCGAGATCGCGCTGCAGCAACATGCGGGGTGCCGGCGAGATGAGGTACATGATCCGGCACACTTTTCTGGCAGACCGTTCTTCTCAACTTCGGGAACTGGGTGCGAGGACAGGTATTTTTGGGTCCGAGAGTTGCACGGATTACAGTGCATTTTCTGTTCTTTGTTTCACGAAAAAAAATTCCACTATTGCGAAAATAAAATCAATGGGAAAGAAGCTAAGTATATGAACAATCAGTTAGAAAAAATAAAATTGCGTCTGCCGGGAGTCGAACCCGGGTCTATTGCTTGGAAGGCAATTATCCTAACCGTTGGACTACAGACGCTTTGATGTACGGACATAAAACGTCATCGTTGTTATACTAATTAGAGCGTCCGAACTTGTGCTCAACCTGAATAAACCCTCTGATATCAGATTGAACAAAAACGAGACAACAGAGGGCCAAGATAAAACATAAAGTTATATCAACATCCTTTGTGGTTGCTAACCCCAGATCCTTCTATCATCTCGACTTTTCTCCATCCATGTGATGAAGAAACCGAAGAAGACCAAACCTGCACAAGCTAGGCTAACCTCAAAGGTTTAAAAGAGTCACATGTGCCACCTACTCCAACAGATGAGAACCTAATATCATCCAACAAATTGTGGCTTGCGACACATCCATTGCAAGACAGGTTGTTGAACTATTGCTTCATTGATGTACTGTCGAGGAAGAAGACTCGGAGCACAAAGGAACAAATTAACATACCTAGTGTCAAGAGCATGCTTGACAAAATACTATTGCTGCTACCAACGTCAAGATAGGTTAAAGCACTAGACAAAAATCCACAAGAACCATTTATCCGCGGGACCAAAACGCCACAAGCTCACTTGTGTAGGTCGCATCAGATCCGACAGCCACACCAAGACGGGCATAGATCCGTAAGACTTTTATTTCGGACAACACCACCTCCACTACCGAGACTTTGCGGCCAAAGAACAAAATTCAAACATAGATGAAAAAATAACCTATATACTTTGATAATTGATCTTTACTTGTCACCCCCACCTCTGCCTTGAAAGCCGAAATGGGACCGAAGGCGGGGGAAACTAGTAGGAATCACAAACCTAGTTACCGCCGGGTAGTTTTTTTCCTTCTCTATCTCCCAATGTGATCTGATTAGATGAGGAGCAATGTTGACGTAATAAGTCGCAACTTGAAGAGAACACCTTTTGGACTAGTCTTTTTTTACAAAAAAACTGGTAGAAAACTATTTAAAAAGCTAGATGAAGAGATCAAAAACCAATCAGTAAATTGTGTGGGATTCCTTTTCATGACCATAAACCCCACCAACACTAATTCATATTTGTAGTATTGGCGCCACTTTCAAAAAAGTGGGAGCTTCATTTTCAAAAATCAATTTATTCCTTATGATCCAAATGCTCCAAGCTGCAATGATAACGACCTCCATGAGGAAAGGAACATGTGTCAGGACTTGGCTGCAATCTGGAAGCATGGCAGCTATTGTGTGCAAACTTGAGAGTGGCCATCTCAACCAGGATATTAGCCAGGTAGAACCATGTGTGTTCTGCTTATTATTGGGAAAATTCCAATTTTTATTTTCTAGTGATAACACGGTAAAAATGTTTAATAATAAAATCAGGTTTGCTAATCCTCATCTAGATAGAAATTCTTAACTCACGTGCGAGTTTTTCACTGTAAGATTTTTGTAGTTCCAAAATTCGTATTGTATATTTTTGCATGTGGCCGCATGGTTCTAGTTTTTGCCTGATCCATTGTTGATATTTTTGTCTTCGTTTGCACGCCTTCGTTAATGGGTTGTGGGAGAATCACATACATGGGTTGTTGCCTTTTGTTGCCTCACGAGCTTTTTTTCCTTCTCTTTTCTTGGGAAAATATGAGAAGAAGGAAAGGAGAGTAAGTAGAAGATCCATTTTTTAATCTATTAAATGTGCACTCTTGACATAGAAATTGTCCTTCGACCTAACTCAATTGTATGTTCATTTTTTGACACACAGTTTATCCTCGACCAGTGGAAGTACATCTAGTGCCCCTTTGTGGTTTTGGAGTATTGGCGGCAAAAGTGACCAAGGAACTAATGTGATTGTGAGTATACATAAGTGAAAGTCTCTGAAGATTTGGTTAACCGACGTAGACAAACCCTAAAAATGTATGTGGTACATTGAAAAATTCGGTGCGCCCTTTGAGAATTTGCTGAGAAAACATGAAGAAATTGTCTTTTGTGAGTTCTTTTTCCTCTTAATTGAGTCACAAGGAACACCGTACTATTAAGAGGGGTTCAAGTGATACAACGAAAATAATTTCAAAGTGATGTTCAATCCAAATCTATTTCTTTGAGTGAAGACCTTGGAAATCTCGTGCAGAGCAGCTCATGTTCTTTAGCGTTAGAGATGATATTCTTCAGGACACTATAGTTAATGTTCTCACTGAAGAGGTAGGAAACCAACAGTTTGGTTCTCCTACCGTGAAGAATTTGAGAGCTCAAATTTTTACCATTTATGAGTTGGCAATAACTAGTTGACGGGCCAGTCCCATTCAGCTGTCATATACAGACCTCCGATTGCGACCCCGCCTAGGGCGAAGCCAGCGTTTGGGTGTTGGGTTCAGCTAAATCCAATGATTTCTCCTGGCCATGGTATAGGTACTATAGTATGTGCTTGAATCCAATAAAAAAATAAGGGTTAAACCCATACACTTGGAATGGAACGCTCGGTGCGAAGCCCATAAGCCCACAAAGTGAATTCCCTTCGAGCCAGCCTAACATGTCTGTGCTTGTCTGCCTGCCGCGATTCTATTTTTGTACATGTATAGGGCAGCCGCACGACCTTTTGTGTTTCTATTCGCTTCCTCCACTTTGCGATCTATTCTCTCGTTCTCCTTGATACCCTAGTGACAAGGATGAACTTTGCAGGGGCAATCCCCCCTAGACCAAGGTGTTAGTTTGTCACATCTCTCACATCTCCTCTCTGTTGTGTATCCCGTAGCCGGTAGCCCATAGTTTTATATTGTAACTACTATTCACGTATTTTGATTGATCTAGGCTATCGACTTTTATTTCCCCAAAAAAATCGATCATAAGATTTGAGATAAGGATGCTAGCACTTCAAGGTCACCCATTAGACACAGACAAAGTGCATCAAATGTCCCTGTAAGAAGTTTTTTGAAGCTTTTCCATTCAAAGAGAAATTAATTTGGATGAATTGCCTTATGATCTGACTGGCCGGAAGATCTTTTCAGAGTACAAAAGAAATCCGAGGAAGCGAGATGAGATTATGTGCAGATATTTAACGAAGGGACCTTACATGCCACCGCTTAATTATATTTATCCACATAGGGTATTGGAGATAAGAATAGGGATTTAATCCATGCTGGTTTAACAAAGGAAATTACTAATTATTTTTGCAAAGGCGACTTCATCATGACATTCTATTTCCTACTATTTATGTTTTATTACGAGTTAAAGATGTTACCTAATGAGTTATTTATCTTCTATGTAGATAGTTTTTGAATTATACAAGGGAACAAATCAGAGATCGATGAGGCTACCGACATGTCTGACAAAGAGTGAACAACAATTATTTTGAGACACCTTACCAAACATAGATTTATCATTGAACAGTTAGTTGGAGTCGAGCATGTTCAGGAAACATCAACAATTTGTCTCAATGCTACTCTTCAAAACTTATTCACTTATAGTTGGTTAAGGATAAAATAGGTCAGAGGACAATACTATGATGGGGCAAGCAACATGCGTGTCAGAGGGATAATATTGTGATGGGGCAAAGAACATGCGTGTCAGAGGGATAGTATTGTGATGGGGCAAGCAACATGCATGGTGAGTTCAAATTGAAAGCAACTATTTTGCAAGATAAGTCACCTAATTATGTGCATTCTTCTGGTCAACAACTCTATTGGTAATTGTGGCAGTATGAAAGAACTATGATGATATTGAAGATTTTTTCTACACGATCTCTATCTAATTCAATGTCATCCAACCGGTATGTCTCATACTCTTTCAATTTTTAATGTAATACAATATGCAATAAGTGATGTCGTATTTTCT